GCAGCCGTTGTAGACAATTGCATAAGAGTCAAGATGCCGCTGGGGCGAGCCAGGCTCCTCAAGCCCTAACAAAGAACTCAGCCAGGGGTAAGGCGCTTGCGTGGGCTGAAACGTGCACACACAATGGCTGGCTGCCTGACAAGCGCCTCATGTCTACAAAAATTACATTTAAGTTACTAAAATTACAATACAAAATTGAAATATCTCATTTCAACATGCAGTTGCAGCAATTCTTCATGCGTATTAAAACGAAGCGCCAGAGATGGGAGCAGGCAGCAGGGAGCAGGGAGCACTGGGCGAGGCAGCACCGAGTTGTAGGTTGCAATTACAGGGTAGTGCAGACAAGTAGGCAAGCTGGCAGTTAGACAGACGAGCGGCAAGTACAGTAGCTAGAGAAGCCACAAAAAGGCAAACATATATATATATACATATATAAATATATATATATATATGAGAATGTGTGTGTTTGTGTACGTTTGTGTGTGTGCTTGGGGAGGGGTATGTGAGCAGCAGGGGGTAACTCCAAGTCAGCCGGAGAGACAGGCACCTAACGAGCCGCATGCCGACAACGAGGCAGACAAAACTTTACAAAATTTATCAACGAGTTCTTAGAGTATGAGTGTGTCTCCGTGTTTGTGTGTCTGTGTGTGTCTGTGCGTATGTGTGTGTGTGCGTGCATATGTGTGTGCTTTTGCATTTATGAAAATGTAATAATAACAAAAGACGCAATGCAGACGCGGCAGCAGCAAACTCAAAACAAACACAACGAGACACTAACCGAGCAGCCCGGGCCAAAGGAACCCGAGCCGGGCACAGACGGGCCGCTGAGACTGAGACTGAGACTAAGACTGAGACTGAGACTGATACTGAGACTGAGAGGGGTTGCATAAGTATTTGAAGATAGGCAAACATATGGCTGACTGAATGCACAATGTAATGGCAGAGACACACACACACACGCACAGATACATATTTAGCTGCCACAGCAATTGCAGTTGCAGCTGTATCTGTGTGCACAAACATATGCGTGGCGCCCAAAAAAAAAAAAAAAAAACAACAAAAACAAAAATTGTAAGTTTACAACTTAAAAAATTTGTCAGAACAAGTTATTATCAAATGCTCATCACAAACAAGCAAACAAACAGGCAAGCGAAACAATACAAAAGTATCTCGCAGATACACACGCACACACACGTAGCTCAGATGCAGATACGATTGACTGGCGCCCAAGCCAAAAGGAGCAATCGCGATTCGAGCAGCTGTTTTCATAGCTCATGAAGAGGGGGGGGGCTAACAAACATACCTATATATTCCATTGTCATGGCCACTTTGTTTTCCAAAACCAATAAAAGGCACATAAAAAAGCAATGGGAAACATAGACGAAAGATAGAAGTTGTTGGGAAACAATAGATTTATATTTGGGATGGTAACCAAAAAGTCTTTAAACGGAACGAGTTTCGGGCATGGGTATTGAAAGCTGGGTCGAACCTGTGCAAATGTGGTGTTTCAATATTTAATTGAACACAAACCTAACCCAAAACAAGTTAAGCTAGATAAGCGATAGCAGAAGCGAGACCCATATCCGAACCATATTTGAAACATAAGTTGGCTTTAAATAATTTAATTTATTTCATTTTATTTCCTTACACTTGAACATATTTTTGCAAATTTATGTAGTTTGTAATAATGCTCTTACGAATATTATATCGCATATTGTGCAGTGCTTTTAAATAATATATATTTATTTTAAATAAACCAAATGCGGAATCGAGTTTACTATGCCCTCAAGAACTATAACGATCAGCTTGTGGCATACACATCGCATTCAAGTTGTGCACCCCTTTTAGAACCAGTCGCTTCGGGAATCACCTGCTGCATGTAGCCCTGCTCCACCGCCGCTGCCACCCGCCAAAGCGAATAAAACTTCAATTAGCAGCGCAAATCAAAGTCTGAGCCCCGCTAATGCCGCCAGACAACAGCGGACAACAAAAACCCGAAACTGAAACCGAAACAGAACCAGAAGCTAAAAACCGAAGCAGCGTTCAAGTGGCCGCCAAAATAAATCCATCCCCCCGCCCAACCACCATCCTATGACACAACTGTGCTCAGTTCCAGTATAAAAAAAAAAACAATAAAAAATAGAAAACAAAGTTGGAAAAAAGTTAAAGCCGCGTGTCCAGCGACGTTGCGGGCATTAAATTGATAGAGAACCAAACGCGATGGCAACATAAACAACAAAATTGTTGCTGCCAGCTAATGGTTGATAGAAGTTGCAAGGGGGGAGGTGGGTTGTGGCGTTGCACGCTGCCGCGATTTTTCGCCTTTGATAGAAAAACAATTTTTCTACTCCATTTCACGCGTTCAAGGCAGCCGCAGAAGCAGCAGCAGAAGCAGCAGCAGCAGCGGCAGAGGCAGCGGCAGCGAATCAATGGGCGCATTTCAGGCGTGGCAAGGCTTAGCATAAAAATTGCTAGGGGAGTGGGGTGGCGGGGGCTGTGGGGCTTGGGGTCGTGCTGGCAGCGTTCTCGAAGCGCTCGTCAGCGTAAAGATGCCACCAGACCGATAAACGCTAGAAATGAAATAACAATAAAAACAATTTTTTATACACATATCGAACCGAGCTAAGCCATTGCTCAAAAAAAGCATGCTGTTCCGCTCTTTCTCTCTCTGCCTCTCTCTCTCTCTCTCGCTCTCTATCTGTCGCTCTCCACGGCCGGCGAAAGTTTTGCTTGTGTTTGACCCAATTTTCTATTGTTGTTGTTGTTGCATTTGTTGCTGTTGCCATTCACTGACTTTTCTTACAGTGTAGCTTTCCAGTTCTTTTGGCTTTCCTTTTAAAAATTTGATCAATATTGCCCGCAATAATCAAATTCTTATGCAATAAAATTGGTAAGCTGATTTTGAACACAACAATCTACCCGTTTACTGATGAACCTGCTATGGTGCTCCATTATTATGGTCTAATTAGCATTCTGATCTACGGGGTTTTTTATAGATTTTAATTTGTTCTTTTTTTTTTGTGTTCCTTCATTTCTTTTTTCAACGTCAGCTCAAAGTTCGGATAATATTATTATAGCCTATTTATTTTGAGGCGGTAGACATCATTTTTTTTTCAATGTGATCTTTAAAAACAAACAAGTTATATATATAAAAACAAAATAAAAATTTCTCATAACTTTCTCAGATATCTGACTAAAGCTCTTTAGTTACAATGGCCATTATCGTCTCAGTCATGAAAATTGTTTTATTTGAATTAAAGAGGTTTTCCCAACAACTATTGTTAATATATTTACTATTTTTCTATGTTAATACTAAATTAATGTTAGTCTATTTCCAAAATATAAGCCTAAGGCTCTTCAATTCAAATGCCCATTATCCCTCAATTATAATTATTTTTATTAAAAATTAAAAAAAAAAAACATTAAATATTATTGTTTTTACTATTATTATAATTAGTTAGTAGTATTACTTTTTATTAATTTTTTTTTATATTACTTTTGATATATTATTAATTTTCTTGCTTGTATTATTATTTACTTTATTTATAATAATTGGCTGCTAAGGTCTTCGATCCCAGATTCCCGTTGTTTAGTTGCCTTTCTTCTGGCCCTTGCTAATAATTTTGGGGCCTTAATAAGTATTCACAAATGTTCTGAATACTGTTTTCTGCTTTCGTGATTTCGGACTTGACAGAGATGCTGCTCTCAGCCGCTTGTACAGTGCTGGACATTGTTCTGGAACAAGATGCGAGAATGCTAAACAGTTTTGTCAACAGAACAGAATATGAAATTATACATTTTTATGACAATTTAATGACTAATTCGAATAGTGATAATCATGTGCTTAAACCCAAACTCAGGCCAACTAACGCTTCAGGTGACCTACAGCGCGTACGTTGACGCCGATGGGGAACTCAAAAGGCCACTTGGCCCTGAAAAGACCTAAACAAATGCCAACTTCCAACCGACAACTATCTAGTTGTGATGGCAAGTTTGTATGTTGACGTAAAAGGTTAGAGAAACATTAAAAAAAAAAAAACACTTAATTGAAGTCGATTTGGATTTAAATAAATTTATACAAAGCTGGAATCCTTAGGTAAACACATTTAGATATAAATGTTAACTGGTTATTTTTAACATAAGGGAATATTTGATCAAATTACTGATCCAAGTATTCTAAGTTTTGCATAGATTCGATTCATCCAAAGCAACTTTTACCAAGCTCAGAACAAGCAGAGAGACGAGCATGTAATACTCAAGACAATCAATTTTAAAATGAATGTACCTTAGTGTAATCAGTCTCCTCTAGTCACTTCGAGTGTATTAATTATGTAATTTGTTGTTCCTTTCATGTTTTATGTTCCTTTCTTCACTTGCTAGAAGAACTATATTTGAATTCATTTAATATTATTTCTACTCCTCAAAGAAAGTCGAGCACATTTAAGCTTCACTCAGACGAAAAAAATCCCCGTTTCAAGGTGGCTCTAACAAAGAAAAACAAACACACACACACACACACACACACACTCACACACACCTGCGCGTCGTAAGCAGTTGGGCATCTGGAGGCAGTAATATGGTCATCAAAAAAATTTGATAATGTGACTGTCGCTTTAATTTTGTATGAATTCATCTATACGCAAACGAAGCTCGGCTTTGGCTTGGCATTGTTGTTGTTGTTGTTGTCGCTGCTGCGGCAATAGAAAACAAGTTAAACGAGAATAGCTAGAGAGGAATACAGGTAGAATCAGCAGCCACCACACAGCAGCCCGGGCCGGTCTAGCCCAAAAAAATAAAAGCCCAAGCAAAAACCTGTACGAAATTGAATTTCTTTCCAAAAAAATATACAATAATAATCATCCCAAGCTTCACTTTGACGGCGACGCCAACGCCAACGCCAACGCAGACGCCGCAGCCGCAGCCGCAGCCTCAGTCGGCAGCTAATCAATAAAGCGCGTTAATTATTGTTTGGTTTAAAGCTTGATTACAACACCAGCGAGGGGCTTAGAACGCCAGTGAGCGCTTAACGCAAAGCACACGCGCGTGTGTGGGGGACCCAGAAGCAAATACAAGCGAGCAACAAAAAAAAATAGCCAAAAAAGAAAAACAACAAACAGCGAGAAAAAAAAAGATACGTCGAAAACACGACAATAACAGCGCACGATAAAAGTCGCCAGCGGGCAAAAACGCGCTCATTTCGTGCGCTGTTTTCGCAACGGTAAATTAGCTAGCGCAGGACCGCAGCACAGATCCACAGATACTGGCAACGGATATCAGATACAGATACAAACAGATACACAGCTACAGATACGGCGTCAGGATGAGGATGCGCCACGCATTTGCTGGATTAATTGTGTGTTGGCTGGCAGTTTGTCAACCGCAAGGTAAATATTTTTGTGCCTCGGCGCAGCGCTAACAACAATAGCAACAACACCAAAAGCAACAACGACAGCAACAAGAGGAACAACAGCAACAGCAGCAATAACAATAGCAACAATGGCAGCACGAACAGCGGGTAGACAGGATAATGACACCAAAACACACACACCTACACATACATGTACACACACACACACATACGCACACACACACATACGCACACACGTCTGCGTACTTTTAGGCTTTGATATTACAGCAATAATTGCAAAATTATCGCTGGATTTTGCGCCAACGTGCGCAGCATACTGACAGACGAAAAAGGACAGCAACAACAACAACAACAACAAGGAGAACAACACCAACAACGGCAAGGACAAAAGCGCAGTCTCCAAAAGGATAATGAGCAAAGCAGCCACACAATGTGGCAGGCTGAAAAGCTGTGGCGTTAAATAGTCGCTCAAAGTCAAGTGTGATTACAACGCGCACAACATTTACTTACGCTTAAAGCTTAAATGATGTGACAAAAACAACAACAACAACCACAAATTTGAATATAATTATGTGTTTGCCATTTACATATGTCATATATGTTTGCCATATATATATATGGCAAATATATGCATGCAAGTAGAGAGCGCTCAACAATGCTCGACTCTCTAGTGATACGTAAAATGCTGCAAGAACTGTTTGCAAATTACAACAGCAGCTCTTAAGTTGCGTGCGCATTTTTGTTTTTTGTTTTTTTTGTGTTTTTCAAGTGCATTTTTACAGAAGTTTCTACTGTGTGATTCTCTAGGCAATTACCTTTTATTTATTTTATTTATTTTTTGCTGTGATAATTACTTTGTGCTAGCTAATGAACATTTTGCGTAAATGATTTCTACAGTAGTAAAGCCCTATAAAGCCCTTAAAGGCAATTTGCTTAGCGAAGGCTTAAGAATTGTGGTTATGGTGCAAAAACATTACAAAAGCACAAATCTTACCGATTGGCGCAGAATTTTTAATTGTGAAGTAAAATAGTTTTGATTTTTTGAAATTGTAGAATTTATTTTCTTATTTTTGTTTTCTTTTGTTTTCTTTTTATTCTATTTATTTATTTTATTAATCAATTACTTATTCTTTTTTTTATGATTATTGATAATCAAATACCTTCACCTGCCAAAAAAAACGGTTGATATATTTTATTTATTTATTTATTTATATTTATGATTTGCATGTTAAGTTAAAACTATAGCCAACCTTCGGCCATTTGCAGGATCGAAGTGTTATTTGGATGTCCATTTTTTGTTTTGTTTTTATGTTTTCTTATAGCTGTGACAATATATTGTACTGTTAGTATACGTACTTTTTTTTTTTTTTTTTGATAGAACTTTCTATGAATTATAGAATTGATTTCTGCAATTATCAAACATATATTCCTCAAAGTGTGTATGCTTTATGCACTCGTATATCCAAATATTTGGTTGAGTTTTTAAGCTTATAATATTTGCTGGTATTTGACATAATTGCAATACTTTATTTCAAATCATTTCGTGAAGTAAACTAAGATTCTTGGAAATACATAAAATTTGCATGATTTTGGCTCACTCGAGTTTCTAAAAGCAAAGCGCAAAGCACAAAACTTTGCCTAAAGTTGTTCACGGCTCAAAAAACAAACAGCGAGCAAAATTTCAAAATAATAATAATGCAAAAAATAGAGCGCACGTTAAATGATATTCAAATTAGAATCAGTCCAAAATAAAAAATAAAAAAAACCCCAAAAACAAATAAGGCAACGCGCCGAGCGATGCGTGAGGAACAAGTTTGAGGAGTTCTTTCAGCCAGTTCAGTTGTTGTTCTTGTTGTTGTTTCTGTTACCGAGGGGTGTGTGTGTGTGTGTATGTGTGTGTGTGTTCGTGTCTGTGGATAGGTGGGTGGGGGGATTATAAATGCATGGAGCTTGTGATATGTTTACCTTAAATAACGCACAACAAATAACAAAGTTTCGCCAGATGGGCGAAAACTTTTGCATTTAACTTATAGTCGCATCTCAAGCTGAACTCGCACCTTACACTTTTGCGCTCTCTCTCTCTCTCTCACTTTAGCTGAGGCACAGTTCGCTCCATTCGGACAGCCGGCCTACGGCGGACAGCCCGGTTTCTTTGGAGGTGGACGCGGTCCACGCCAGGGCTCCGCTTCCCGGGCCAACACGAATGCCTATGAGCGCCAGGTGGACTTTGGCAATGTGGAGTACACGCAGGGTCTATCCAACTCGCGTGCGGTAACCCGGCAGAACGGCCAGCGCATCGTGTCGGACAGCGAGGCGCGCACGCGTGACGTGGATCTGGGAGGATTGCAGATTGGGAATACGCTGACGCGCACACGCACCAATGCGAACGGCGCGGTGAGCGGCGGCCTGGCCGATCAGTTCCGCATTGGCAACTTGGGCCTGGGCGCCTCATTGTCACCGGACAACCTGCGTCAGGGTTTCGGACTGCAGCGCGGCGCCGATGGAGACGTGCGCCTCGGCCTGGGCCTGCTCAGCCTCGATCTGGACAACAATGTGCAGAACAGCAACACGCTCGGTCAGGCGACGGTCAATGCTCAGGGCCGCGGTGCTCGCGTCGGCTCCAACAGCAATAGCCGCACCAACAACCAGCAGTTCGGTGGCGTCAATGTCAAGGAGACCTTCAGCAACTCGAATGCCTTTGGACGCACACGTTTCGGCCAGACGTCGGCCAATGCGGGCGGGTTTGGCGAGACTGCGGCCACGCGCGGCGTCAACTACGGCAACTTTGGCGGCGGCTTTCGACGTCGCCGCACGCCGCAAGTCGCCTATCGCCCGCAGCAGCAGCAGCCGCTAGCTTTCGCTGGGGGAAATCGTCGCGTGGCTCGTCCCAAGCGTCGCGCCCAGTACGTGCCTTTTGGCTACCCTCAGCCCGGCTACAATAACTTTGGCTATGGCGGCTTTGGAGGTTTCGGCAATGTTGACGCCACGGAGCGTCCACGACGACAGTTCGGTCGTCCAGGCGGCTTTGGCGGATTTGGCGGCTTTGGCGGATTTGGCGGCTTCGGTGGTCAGGGTGGCTTTGAACAAGGCGGCTTTGGGCAGCCGGACTACTATAATCAGGGTGGTAAGAGACGCGGCCAGGTGCAATCCTCAGGCAATGCAGGCGCCCAGGGCGGACCCGGCTTTAATCAGCAAGCGGGCAGCAATAACTTTGCCAACCAGAATGCGGACGGCTCACAGAATGCGGGCAGCAGCAGCATCGGTTCCAATCTCGCCGAGGACGGCAGCAGCGGTCAGGTAAGCTCCGCCAACACGAACCAGCAGTCGGGACCCGGAGGGTCGACGAACGGTGCACAAAGCCAGGCGCTCAATTTCCAGGCCGGCGAGCAGCAGGCCTCCAGCTCGAATGCGAATACCAAGCACACCCAGGTGGGCAACCAGGAGACTATTGGCTCCAACAGCGGCTCCACGGCCACCAACAACAATCAGTTCGGTAGCTCTAGCAACACGGCCAACACGGACACGCAGATCGTCCGCGATGGCGACCAGGCGACGATCACATCCGGCGCCAACAGTCAGTCCATCTACCAGGGTGGCGATGACCAGGGAAACGCCGCTGCCAACACCGCGGCTAACATCAGCTCGCAGGTGGGCGCCGACGGCTCCGTAACGAACTCAGCCTCCAGCAGCGCCAGCGCCAGTAGCCAGAACGGCCAGTCGGCCAATGCGAACGCCAATGCCAACGCCGGCGGCAACGGCAATGGTGCCGGAGCGGGCGCCAATGCCAACGGTGGCGGCGGCAAGCGCAATCGCGGCGGAGCCGGCAATGCCAATGCCAACAGCAACGTGTTTGGCGGCTTTAATGGAGGCTTTGGCTTTGGCCGTTAGTTATGCTAAATCAAATTAAACAGCACCACCAGCACCACCAACACCACCACAACAACCACCACCTTTTTTCTATATGCTCACTCAAATATTTTGTTCTATTTTTTTTTTTACAACGAATCACTTTAAGCACTCGAATAAAATGTATTTGTTAATTTTAAATGTTGCTGCACCAAAATGCACTTATAGGTAAGGGGTCTTATAGTAACGGGGGGAGGTAAATATGAACATTTTGTAATCACAGCTGTTACACGTATTTCATCCGTGTATGCTGGTTATCGGTTAATCGATAATTATCGATTACTTTTCACATTTGATTAAATCGATTAATTGGTAAATATTGATACTTTTTTACAGATTTTATCTTTATTTTATTGTAATTATAGCTTTCGACTCAATTTTCATATTCGATATACATTTATATAATCAATTATTTTGAACACTATTCTCATATTTTATCTATATAGTTTGTTGTCGACTAATCCAACATTTTAATATGTAGCATATTATTGTGTTGTCGATTAACTACTAATTATCAATTTATTGTTTATAATTTTATTATCGATCAAGGCATTTATTGGATTTATGTTTTTTTTTTTTTGTAATTTCGTGCAATTTGTTAACATTTTAAACTTTTACTTTTACGGATTTGCACATTTCTGGCTGTGAGCACGATCGATGCACAATCGTTGCATACTTTAAGGCAGCCGCACTAAACCCAATTTTTCCTTCTCTTTCCCACTCTCCCGCTGTCACATTCTGTGGCCTGTGCAGTGCGCTATCGCACGCAGCAGCAGGTGCAGCTGCAGCGTTGGCGGCCGAGACCCCGAAACAGCAGCTTGGTTGGGGACAACATCGAGTATCTGTTTATAAATCGATCGTCGCGCCTAGAGGACTTGCAGCCGGTGGTGAACACTTCGATCGATGCGTTCGGGGACTACGATGTTAGCCAGCGACAAGGCCGCACGTTCAGCATCATCTCCGACTGGATCAGCAGTTTGTTTGGCTCCTGCGTCACGCCTTGCACCATGGAGGCCTATCAGCAGAATCGCTGCTGCGAAACCTATGTTTTAGGACCGCCGCCGCCACCGCCACAGACGTGCTGCTTGGTGCCAGGACCGCCACAACAGCTGCCACCACCACCGCCACCCCCTCCGCCGCCGCTGGTACCCCGCCCGCTGCCGCCCATGCCAGCGCCACCTCGCTATCCCATGCCCTATCCGCTGCCAGGGCCGGTGCTGCCCGGCAAGAATACGCCTGTCATGGTTATAGCCACGCCCATCAATTGCTGCACAGTGTGTACGTACACCTACTATGGCCCGCCTCCCTGTGGTCGCTTCAACTACAACAACTACAACAACAATAACAACAACAACATCAATGGAAATAAGCGAGTGACTATCTATGTTCCACCTCCGTACTACGGTCGTTGAGCATAGGTCGGAAATCTAGCTATTAAGAGCCTACCTAGTGTTATGAGCCGGCACCCCGTAGATTATAGTTCAGCATCTTATTGTCTCTGTCTATCCCCTTTCTATGGTTGCCTTCAGCCTCCCTTTGTGGCTGCGTCTGGTTCTCTGATAATCTCGAAAAGTGCTTTATGTCAGTTTTTGGTTCTCGGCCTGTCAGAAATGCGGCAAAACAAAAATAAAAAAATATAAAATAAAACACGTAACAGAGTTGGGGCAAAGCTTGCATGCCAGAAATATGGGCATGTTTCTGCTTCTGCTTCTGGAGCTGGAACTGGAACTGGTACCGAGAACCGGCGACGTGCAGGCGCCTGCAACGGACTAAAGTTGCGCTCTGCCCTAAACCAAACTCGAGCCTAACCAGCTTCTGAATAAGCTAATGCCTTTGCTATTTACTTGTGTAGAAATATCTGGCGACGAAATATCGTAGTTTAAACATGCCCAAGGGTTATCTATGTTCTAAGAAATTAATAGCTTGGGTTCTGGTATTTGTTTATGTTTTCTATTTTTTATATATATGTATATTGTATAAATATATAGTAAAAAATACGCGTAGGTTTTCTTTTTTTTATTATATATAGATAAATATATATTTTGTTGTATTATTTGTTTTTAAGGTTAAGCTCCAAGAATATCTTTCCAGATATGTATAGATTTAGCTTATGTGGCGACATAAGTGTATGCTACTCCATAACCTAAAGTTTTTTCAGATTTGGCTCGGGTTTTTCATTTCCTTTTGTCTTTATTTAAGGTTTCATTTTCCATATCAATCATAACATATCATATCATTTTCCATGTCAAGTAATATTAAGCCAAAAAAGAAGCACAAGTTTTTTGAGAATTGAAAGCAGAAAATTCCAAAGTTTTAGATGTTTTAAGCCTGAGCTTATACATTATTAGGAAAGATTTGTAAACTGTGGTTTTGAAATATATAGACGATAAGCTTGCTATCGATACATTTGAAAGCGCATGCAAAGTTCGTTGTACGTGTGCCGTAGCTTTGCTATCTTGCAGCCTTTTGTTGTTGTCCATTTTTGCGATATGTGTTCGCTCCTTTGTTGTGCCTTTTTGTGCCGTTGACTTTGGCTTCGGTTTGTCTGTGTGTGTGTGTGTGTGTGTTGTTTTTTGTCGGCTTTATGCACGTAAGGACACTGAAATTTATAACAGCCTGTGCCCAGGCACAGGTCTCTGACAGAGTCGCTGGCTGTCTGGATGGCAGCCACAAACGACAGGCTGGGAAACGAGACACGGAACATGGGACATGGGACATGGGACATGGGCACAGGCACAGGACACGTCACGTCAGCGGCACAACAAAGCTGATAACTGCAGGCATTGCGCCGCCGTCGTCGTCAGATTCTGATAAGCGCTGGAAAAACAAGGCCGGCCCCATATAGAAGTCCCAACTAGCCGGAAGCAGAGAGCCCAACACATCGCGCGCCTTTGTCATTTCTCATAATGTTAATTTATATTCAGTTCAGTCTAAGCAAATAGCATACAAAAAAAAAAATAGCCGCATGCCGTACAGTGACAGCCGGGTAGAGGAGGCGGGACACAGATTGTAGAGGAAAGCCAGAGTCGAAGGAGCTGTGGGAATAAATAGTTGGCACAAGCCATGCATGGTAGCCTTAGATGGGCGCCTTAGTTGTAGAATTGCTGATGGCGACGACGCGCTGGGGTGGCGGCAACGAAACGGCGCTCGCTGAACACCTCCTGGCCGGGTGCACCGCTATCTGTGGCCGAGTAGAGCAGAAGGGGAATCTCCTCGACGCTGGTCTTCTGCTGCTGCGCCGAGTTACGCACGCCGGAGCGGAGCAGCTCGTTGCTGGAGAGGCGGCGTGTGCTGGGTCCGGTCGAGGCGGGTGCAGCGGCCTCCGGAGCGGGCACAGTGGCGCCCTCTAGCAGCTGGGTATCGTCGTTGTCGTTCTGCTGCAGTGGCGCATCCTCGGGTTGGGCCACGGCAATGGTGTTGCCCACTGGGGCATTGGCGCCATCCTCGGTCTGAGCATCGTCGGCAATTATGGAGCTGCCCTGGAGCAGCGCCTCAATGTTCTCAACATTGGAGAGACCGTTAATCTGGAGCTGATCGTGCAGCTCGCTGGGTATGGCAATGGCCTGGACATCCTTGTGGCCGGAAATGCCGTTGGGCGTGGGAATGAATTGGACATTCTCGGGTATCTGATCGGTGGGATAAACTGGCACAAGCTCGGCCTCGTTATCGTTGCTTGACTTCAGCAGGATCAGCGAAATGGGCACGATCTTCTTGAACTTGAGCAGCACCAGCTTCTTGATGGCAACCGCGCCAGGAAAGACGCGACTTTGTGCGCCATGGGGCTTGGCAATCAGACCGCGCTGCTGCTGCTGGAAGCGGTGTCCAGCCACATGACGAGCTAAGCCACACACAAACAAATAGAGAGAGACTGTTTAATATGGGCCCGATTGCAATATTGGCAGATGCTACTCACCATCGCTGACGGCGGCCAGGGCCAGGCCAATGGCCAAAAGGGTAAACAGTTTGATTGCCATATCGAATGCTGCAGTCGATTCCAAACTCTGATCTGATCGCTGGTCTGTGTGTGCGTCGCTGGGTGAGAGCGTCTATACAATGGTTTGACTGTTGCCCTAGCAAAGACATTTTATACAGGGTAGCCGCTTGGGGCCACGGTTCTTGCGCGCGATTCTTTCACTCGGTAATCATAAAATCACAGACAGCACAAAAGAAATTAGGCGAAAAATTAGTGCCAGCAAATAAATGAAAATGGGCAAAAGAAGAATGAGCCAGCCGTATGCCAGCCAAATGGCAAATGCCAAATTTTAATAAACTATGCAAATGTCCCTCGCTAATTTATGCAATCGCGTCGACGATGGCTTTCTGGCTGCTTTCTGGACTGATTCTCCAATTGTGGACTGTGGACTGCGCATGCAGCCAACAACTGCCTGTGTGTCTCGGGCCGGGCAAGTCGTTGACCACCAGCTGCATTGGCCAACACCTTCCCGATCCCTAGGCACACACTAAATCTGGGATAGCTCTAGAGCTGAACTCCACAGCCGAAGTGAACCGCATTGCCAATATGTGGCCGCAAATATCTGAGGCGAAAATTTGCATTTTGGGTCGTCGCCATCGGAAAGTTACCAACTATCCAGCTCGCAGCAGTTTTATCTTTTTTAATTTGTAATTTTTTTTTTTTTTTTTGGGTCAAAAGTGAGATTTTCAAGTAGTCAAGCCAAATTCTTGGACAAAACTCTAATAACGCATTTGTCAATGTTCGCCCGACCCCAATATCTATATATTTATATATATATATGTGTAACATGTCAGGGTTCGAACGCCACTTTGCTTTCTTATTTGCACAAAATAATATATGGCTAAGTTTTGACATATTTGCTTTTCAATACGAGTTTCTAGCCCACATGCGTTGCGGGAGTTCCCCTTTGCGAACGCATTTTTTATTTGCTTACAGTTCATTTTGATATTTATGGATTATCACACTGGAATGCTGATAAGTTTTAGCAACTCATCCAGCGGATTATATGTGCTATCGTGATCGTGATCTTATGACGAACTCTTGAGTTTTTCATTCCACAGTTGCCCCAAAATTATTGTTAAAAGCAAGTCCTACAAGGAAGAGGAGTGCGGCACAGCAACCAACATGCTAAGATGGAGCTGGGGCTCTCTTAGTGAGCAACAGTTGCTAGACCTTTTCCTGATCCGAGCTGGAGAGACAAATTCTTTGGCCACTTGCTTCTCCCTATCCGAAGTAAGTACTGGACACGCACAGTGCACGGATATAGCTGTTTCGTCTGCCTTTAAGCGGAGCCTGCACTCCGATGATAATATTTGACTGTGTGATAGCTAGTCTTAAGTCTTATGTCTACCATTTCTAGTACTATAGAGATCAAGTAGCATCTCAACTTGTCGGAGTCCCTTGCTACAGCACAAAAAACTTACTGGTGCTTTCTGGTAATAGGATGCCAGCATGGACTTGGCGAAGGCCCTTGGCAATGCTCGAGGACAATTGGGAGGAAACCAGAAACGCCTCTTGCGACTCCGTGCGCCAAAGATTTTGTTGCACATCGAGAGCAGCTGAAGACAGTTCCAACTGCCTGCTATAAGCCTAGAGTGGATGGTGTCTCTTTGATCTTTACCAAGCTTTTGTCTGAAACAACTTCCAATGGTGAAAAAAAAAACAAATTTATATAATTATAATAAATAATACCCAAATCAATTTTCAAGTTCATCGTTACTTTATTGTGTTAAGTCTATAATGCCCTAACATATATCTAGCTCGGAACAGTTTTTTCTTATGTATAATATAAATATATATTTAAATATATTTTTGTCCGATATCCAATTCCTTGTATATTATTTTCAAATTTTTGTAAAAACACAAAATGAATGGAACATTTTATAAAGAGACAAAGCATGGCCCTAGAGTAGTATTCTTATCGAGAATTTAATGAATAAAAATGAAAAAGTCAATATTAGAATTTCATTTAAAATCTTATGAAGTCCAAATGGTTTCAAAAGTCTACACTATATACTTTAGCCTTTTGTATTTATGATACGTTAAAAAGTAAATGTTTAGTTTCCATATAAAGTATTTTGAAAGAAAAGTAAAATGTTATTTATTAAAAACCCATGTAATATTCCGGAAAAATTAGACTCAAAGATTTTTTTATATTATGTATATCTCATAAAAAAATTACTTTTATAGCACGCTTAACAACACTTGCCTTTATAGCACAAGCATTCAATGTTTCGGGCACAAAGAACTTAGTCATAAATAACTAATATTATTCTGATCTGAATGATGCATATCATATCAAATTTATTTATATTTAGTTTTAAGATTTATTTTTGTAAAGATCCATAAAGATTTTCAAAGAATAAACAAATCAGACAAAGCATTCGTGGAATGTCTTTGATATATTGTCTGCAGACCTTATAAGCAATTATTTATGGACTATCATTAATTTAAAAGAAAAATAAAACAAAGGAATA